ATAAAGCATATACCTGTACTTTATAAGTGTGTATTTTCTTAAGCAGTAGCCAGAGTAGCTGCACAAGTTTTACATAGTGAGATAGGCCAGCTCATGTGAAAATTGCAAGTGAAAAAAAATATGAAATATATTTCTCTTTCCCCCAGCTTCCTTCTGCAGTACATAGGCGTGGGTGACGACCTGCCAGTGAGATCCTGCTTCAGGCAAAAAGATCCCGGGGAATGTTGTGCCGCCCACATATCGGGAGAAGACACCCCTGCACTGTGCTGGAGTAGCATCTCACATTTGGGCTACTCTAAATTCCCTGGAAACTTGTCGGCAGGAGCTGGGTATAAGAAGAAAAACAAATCCCAATTTTTCTTTATGCAGGTTTTATTTTTTTTATTTATAACAAGCCAGCTATTAATAATGGGGAAGGGGTCCGATATTTTTGACAGACCTTGTATTTTAATGGGAGGTTTGCTTTAACCACATGAGCAGAGAATCTATACCTACTACTGTATATAGTATCCAACAGTAGCTTTCAATTGGTCAGATGCTCTTTTCTCTTCTAATGTTAATTTGTATTTAATAGATCTATTAGCAGTCAACTTCAGTTCCACATTCTCTTGGAAATAGTCTCTTTCTGTATTGAGACATATAGAATGCCGCTCTGTTACAGATATACATTTCCCAGTCTAAGCTCCCCGGCTGCCCTACTTGTGCATTGTTCTTCATAAACACGTCTTTGACTTGGTGCTCTGATAATATGAAACCCTGTAGATTTAGGGGACGATCGATCTGATCACTATGAGGTCTCAGAGAGGGCAGCCAAATGCTCAAAATTGCCTAAAGAAAGTCTTTTTCAAAGTTTATTCAAAATAGATTTTGCCAAATGCTTCCTATACGATTCTCTCCACCCCTCATTCACAAAGAGTACCGTGGTCTGGTGACAAAAGTCATAAGTCCATTAGGTTCAACCAAAAAAAATTAATAAATAAAAAAAAGAAACCCCCCATATATGCACATTTAATTCAGAGGAAGGCAAAAACCCCATTATAGAGCATGACCCAATTTGCTCTAGCAGGGCTAAAAAAATATTTACTTATGTTCGAAGGCAATTGGATATTGCCCGGATCAACAATCTCTGGTCTTATTACCTATCAGCCCTCATTCACACAGGAATCGGCCCGCACATGCAGCTCCCGGGAAGGACAGGTGCTGCGTGTGATTAGTACGCAGCCCCTGTCCTTCTCTATGGGAGTACGCGAACATACGCCCACCTACACTCACCTCAAGTGCGAGTACGCTCACCCGCACGGACGTGTAGGGTGGGTGAGCGTAGGGGGGCGTATGGTCACGTAGTCCCAAAGAGAAGGACGCGGGCTGCGTACTAATCACACGCAGCACCTGTCCTTCCCGGGAGCTGCTCGGTACGGCCGTGCAGGCCGATTACAGTGTGAATGAGGGCTAAATCTTAATAGCCAGTTATTTTCTTTGCATTTAGGATGCATGCAGCCTTTTTTTTTTTTAAAAAAAGCAAACGGAAAAACAACTGAGCTAGCTGGAACTTGTTCCTGAGGAAGTCTATTCTACAATTTCATAACAAAGTTATACTCACCCAATCCTGTGAGCCAGCCAGCTGTGACAGCGCTCTCTCCTCCTACTCTGCAGAGATGGCATGTCCCTCAGCGTCCTCATGTCCTATACACAGTAGGGGGAATTTATCAAAACTGGAGCAGATTTGCACTGCAGCCAATCAGCTTCTATCTCTCATTTTCAAATGTCAACTGAGCAAACTGAAGAGAGATGCTGAATGGTTACCATGGGCAACTGCTCCAGTTTTAATACATTCCCCCCAGTGTATATAATGAGATGACTCAGAGACCTTAGACCGCTGCAGCGGAGGGGTAGAGAGGCTCCAGGGACCTGTCTAAGAACAAGCTGGCTCAGAGGATCGGGCGAGTATAACTTTTTATTTTCTTCCCTAGATCAAAATGGGCAGTTAACCCTTGCAGTGTGGGGGTAGACCCACTGCAAGGGTTAATAAAAGTTTTGCCCGAAGTCCTGCTTTAACACCCCATTTGTTCCACACTGGTTATTAAATGGTGTTTATTAATTATTTTATATTTAACCCAATTTACTATCGGCAGAACTCCAGGCAATAATTGTTCCCTCTCTTTTTATGCTGCGCTATTGTATTTTTTTTACTCCATCCCTGATTTTCTATGTCGCTTTGTAACCATGGCTATTAGAGGAGATGCTCGTTATACACTAATTAAATGTTTGTTCAAAATGTACTTTTATGCATGAGGACAGCATAGACTAAACACGGCATCTGCAAACCACTAGTGATTTTTTTTCTAGTTAGTCACTCACCTGCCCCTCCTGCCAATCAAACACAGAAATGACAGAATACCATGTTCATATCACAAAATATAAATTTTAATGAACAGTAAAAATGTATTATTACATTCCATAATAATACACTTGCTCTTCAAGAACAGTATACTGGACATTCTAAAAGATATATAAAAAGTTGATTTGAATAAACTTGGATTAAAAAGAAGTTGAGAAATTCAGAGTATCTATGGCATTTCTAAGGTATAAGAGTACAGTATATAGCACAACTAAAGTAGAGTATACATGGGTAGATTTTTGCACAGTGGCGTAACAATAGCCATAGCGACCCAGGCGGCCGCTATGGGGCCCGGGCCCAGGGGGGCCCGGCCAGGACACCCCCCTGGTGCCGTGCGGGCCGCCTGGATAAATCACAGGGCCCCATACGAAATTTTGCTATGGGGCCCTGTGATTTCTAGTTACGCCCCTGTTTTTGCATGAACGTTTGTCTGACAAATTCTGTCGGAACATTCAATACTGGCATCAGAGACTTGCAGATTGTTGTTCAACTTTCGTTTTGAAATGAATGGAGTTTTAGAACGATAACCACATCACCACATCAAATTCATTTGATCGAGAAAACTTTTGAATCTTTTCGTCACATCGATCATCGATTAGAAAGTCGAATGAAGGTTCCAAAATCGATTTTATCCACTCGCAATTCTAACCGCGTATACCCTACTTACGTTTTTTTTACAGCAGTTTCCCCATTGAAAGATCTCCCCTCACTTCCTCTCCCGGAGGTACCAGTCATCTATGGCAACATCTCTCCAGTGGGGACAAAGTTATAAATAAAGTGGATAGGAGTCTTACACCCGAGCTGCTAAAAAATGTTTTTACTACTGTTCTAAGGATGAAAGGGCAGGTCAAGTTTTCCCAACTCAATATTTAGAAAGCGTAAATAAGTCATATAGGTACAAGGGGCTGTCATCAGATTTTCTATACTGTCTGCTCACTATCCAAATATATTATTATTCTCATACGGGATTTATGTAGTGCCAACAGTTTGCACAGCGCTTTACAATATAAGGAAACCAGTACAGTTACAATACAAGACAAGATGGTTAGGAGGGCCCTGTCTGTGAGAGCTTACAATCTATGTTTTGGTATTTCCTTGTACATTCATTCAATATTTAATAGTAAAATATACTGTCCATCTCCAGAAGTTTGACTTGTATACAAATGCTGTCATTGTCTGTATTTCCATTCAACCTAATGAGAGGGGGGAAATAAAATAAACATATATATTATTATTTAAATATTTTCTGTAAATACTATCTTCATACCATATATAAGCGTCATAGTTCAGTATCCGATTTTCGTTTTGTTGATCCTCCCTTTCAGCAGAGATGATATAACCAAGTGTCTAGGTCTCATCTGAATTTAGTGAAAGAACTGTGCTCCCATTTTATTGTACCCTTCCCAAGACAATAATCTTGGTGGCCACAAATGTATACCGCACTCCATAAATGCTTACACAGGAATTAAATGTATTAAAATAATTAAACAATGATATGCAAGCTAGCAAGGAGCAATCAACTGCATATTTTTGTGAATGATCCTTGTTTACAGATTATTGGGGATAAATAAAAAGGATTTTCACAATAATTGGAGTCACGCTGAGTCATAACCCAGTGGCCGTCCTTCTCCATCTTAATTCCTTATATTGTAAAGCGCTGCACAAACTGTTGGCGCTATATAAATCCTGTGTAATAATAATACATAATAATTCACTCTAAAAAAACAATATAAAAATTACAAATATAAAAAATATCTGCACATACTTCTCCATAATGCAGAGAGAGCATGTGTTACGGCTAAATGTAAAAAACCTTCTCCTGGTCAATGGGTGTCCATAGTCAATTAACTTAAATGAAGGATCTTAATGCATCTCTCACACAGTAGGAAGACAAATTCTGGAAAATCTGGTATTGAATTAAAATGTTACATTAGAATACAAATCACTTCTTTCAGATCACATCTAAAAACGTACATTTCCTAGGTGGTCAGACTGAAAATTCTGGACTTGGTCCCCTATTCACAATTTTTTTCTTCTTAGGCCATGTCACCCCTTTCTGTCTGTCTTTCCAGACTCTATTTTCATATTTCTGAACACCAAGTATCTTATTTCTTTATCCTTTTCCCCTTCTTTTCTCCTCACTGTAACAAAGAACTCATATACCATTTAGGGGTTTTAACATTTTATTTCACCACCCTTATACAGACAAATAGTAAAACGATCTCTCTACTGGAATCCATGGCATTCCAACTCTTCCAAAGGCCAGAGCCCCACAATCCCTGCCGACCATTGAATTTACTTTTTCCCTCCTATAAGAAACCAACAATATTCTGACTCTCTGTTATTACCCTAGGACAGGAGGTGTGTTACTGGCAGGATCACAAGGTGAAAATAAAGGACACAAGTCTGATAAAGAAAACTAATGCAACCACCAATTTTAAGGACTGGTAAGCAGCAGTAGATGACTTTTGTGTTCTTGGATTTATGTACTCCTTGAGACCAGGTGAGCACCTCTACTACTAAGTATAATCTGTAGGAAGTGACATTTCATTATCTGTGGTATGGCATTTAGTTTAACAAAGACACACCACATTTTACCTTACGCATGAAGCATGAGACGTTAATTCAGCAAGTGTTCAAGTTTTTCCAGGTCTTCTTGGAAAACAGACAAAAGGTCTTTGTTCTCTGTTAAGAAGGTCTTCATTTTGATTACAGCATCTTGGTCCTACAAAAAGGAAGAAAATGTTTTAGAGCCCTCCGATTTTTCATTCTAGTTCTGATTTGAACTGGGGCTATCGTTCTATTCCACTCACCTCTTCTGATAAAGCCCCGTTTTCTTCTTTTTCAAGATATATTTCCTCTAGCAATTGATTTACAAGTTGTATCTCAAGTTCATTAAGAGATAAGCCATCTAGTGATGAGTTTCCTATGTAGACATTTTCACCTCCATCTGGTTCTGCACCAAATCCATCAACTTCATGCAGAGATAAATCTTTAACAGACCAATCTGATGATAAGACCTAAAGATATAAACAGAGAAAATAATAATAAAATGTAAATGGAAGAAATGTCAAGTTATCATATAAAATAGTATAAGTGGTATAGGGGTTATCGAAATATATTTCATTTCAAAGCGGAGTCAATTTAATTTAAACTTTGCCACTCTTGTGTGTTGCATTACCGAACATTTAGACGTATTCACAAAGAGAGACTAGAATGCGGTTGTGCATGAGGAGGACAAATGTCAGTGTTTGCCCCAGGTTAAATGTTAGATGTTAGAAACAGGTACATGAATCTGGCGCAACTACCTCCATTGATACGTACATTCCATCCTGAGTGCAGCTTAGTAACGCTGAGCCTGATAAAAATCACAGCTCTCAATTAGACCAAGAGCTTATAGTGTGGGTGGGCGGAGCCTGATGGGGAACTCTGAGAGCCTAGTCCCCCATCAGGTTCAATCTGCTGCTGAATGACAGCAGGCAATGGGCAGATTCTATAGCCACTAGCCAGCCTGCTATTGGCTATGGAAACAAGAACTACCTGAATCTGTCACAAGTGTTGGTAAACCTACCCTAAACTAGGGGAAAGGGCTTTGTTTAATTTGGCCCAGGCCCTTTTAAAGGTCAATACCACCAGAAAAGTGTTGCTGCAGCATTTTTTCTGATGCAGTGCACCACAACATAGAGTAGTTTATTACTGCGCGGTGTGGTGTCCCTTAACACGTGTGTTGGCGCTGCATTGTCTTAGAGCACTGTGGTGGCATTTTTAATGAATGACACTTCAACGCATGTCATGTGCATTGTGGTAATGCAGGGATTTCTGGATATGAGCATTCAACCATGAACAGCCACAGTTGAAGAGGGAATGCAGCACTCGTCAGCTAACATTACCAGTCTTTTTTTTTAATATAGACACACAGTCCCCCAGCCTCCAACACATGCTTCTTTTGGGTAGAATGCGCAATTGCATTTCATTCTTTTACTCTGTTAAAAGAGTCCATGTGGGCCACAGGTTAAGATTACAGGAGAGCTGCACTGCTAACCGTCTTTTAAAAACGTTCATTGCTAGGGACTGCCATTGCTAACCGTCTTATAAAAAACTAAAAACAAGTTGCCTTGCTCTCTCTTGCCTAATACTTTCTGAGTCACTGACCCAGGATCTGTGTTAGGGGCAACAACCACTGCAGCGCCCAGTCATGTAACTACGTGCCAGGTGCTTGACTGCTGTTTTGCAGCACAAGATTCAACAGAGCACCAGGGAGGTATATGAAGTGAAGGAAGTTGGTGGAAGCTTCACAGTCAGAAGCAGCCCAGGGGACATGAAGGCTGCTAGCTGAGTGTATTGATATGCATTGATATGAAAGCTGGTTATGAAGAGGGGTCCATTCAATGGACTAGGATGCATGCTGTAGTAGGGATGCACCAATAGCAGTTTTTCGGTATTAAGTACCGATAATTTTTTTCTGGGACTCACCGATACTGAACACCGATAGCGGAAGTCCCATTAAGGAAGCTGAGCAGCGCGTAATGACTCGCCACCCGGCTTCCTGATTAGCCGGCTCCATGCTCCCTCATCACCGGGTGATGAGAAAGCAAGGAGCCAGTTTTCTGGCCAATCAGGAAGCCGGGGGGGGGGGCGGTAATGACTCGCCATCCAAGTTCCTGATTGGCCAGCTTCCTGACCAATCAGGAAGCCGGGCAACGAGTCATAACATGCCATCCGGCTTCACGATTGGCCGCTAAGCCTGCTCCATGCTCCATGGTGACGAGGGAGCATGGAGCTGGCTTCCAGGCCAATAAAGACTCGCCGCCCGGCTTCCTGATACCGGAAGTTCCGGTATCGGGATAAGTATTGAGAGTATCTGGGCGAGTATGAGTACTCATCCAAATACTCTACACCGATACCAATACTAGAATTGGTATCAGTGCATCCCTATGCTGTAGTGACGTTGTGATGGAGGTCATAATATGCTGTGCTAAGTGTATCTGGGATGTATGCTGCAAAGTTCTCAGTGTATGTTAGGTGAATTATGTGAAGTGCTGAATGTATTTTATTGCATGCTGTGTTTGAGAATTGTTTAGTACAGTATACTCAACGTGTATGCACATTATTCACCTAGGTATGGCAGTACTAAATAAGACAGTCTAGCACAGTACCTTTTTTATTTGATCGGATTCCTTTTTAAGGTTGGGAACATGTCCTAATTCAGAGATTAATTCTTGTAGCTTCTGTCCAAAGGAACTCAGCCAAGAAGAGGAAACCTTCATATCAGAGGAATGCATCAAGTCATTTCTACACTTTATGACCTGGAATATAGAAGAACACCATCATGAATAAAATGTGCTTCATATGTGTATGGTTGTGTTTTGAATCATATGAAAACAATAGTATTACAACATTTAAAGAGGATTTCCAATAATAAAAGGGGGCTAGAAGAGGGGGAGGGACTCCTTTATGGTACTATCGAGGGATCCCAATCAGACCCGGGTTCTACATTCTGTATACCTTTGTCCTGTAATAAGCAATACTAATTCAAAAGTATTATAATGTTCAATCAGTGGAATCAATGGCAGGGACAATGTATAGGTGGCTATATTACATTTTATGGGTAACAGATTCCTTAAAAGGGTCTGCAACAGGTTAACAGTCAAAACAGCTAAAAAGTCATGAAAGAGTCATGAAAGATTAAACATTCTCTAATGCAACTCAGCACAAGAGTTCTAGAAGTTCTGCAAAGCACTAACTTCCTTAGATTTACAATTGACATAAATATCAGTAAATCTCATACGGTAGTAATATTAAAAGGAGAAACGCAGGAAGTGATAATGAGAGCTAGCCCCACCAACACTCTCTCATATAACAAATGTTAGTCTGATACATGCTGCAGTTCCTTGTTTATTATGACAGAAGCAAAGGTTTGTATGTTACATTCTCTGAAATATTTCACATTGTACACTATGCTATACATGACAAGTTCCGAGACATTCCCCTTTACCCCACTCTATCCACTCTACTCTATGTGAAATGCCCCATTGTCCTAGTCTATACACTGCGCTGCACATGACATGTTCTGGGTCACCCTATTCTGTATGCTGTACATGACATGTTCTGGGTCACCCTATTCTGTATGCTGTACATGACACGTTTTGGGTCACCCTATCCTGTATACTGTACATGACATGTTCTGGGTCACCCTATCCTGTATACTGTACATGACATGTTTTGGGTCACCCTATCCTGTATACTGTACATGACATGTTCTGGGTGACCCTATTCTGTATGCTGTACATGACACGTTCTGGGTCACCTTATTCTGTATACAGTACATGACACGTTCTGGGTCACCCTATTCTGTATACTGTACATGACATGTTCTGGGTCACCCTATTCTGTATGCTGTACATGACATGTTTTGGGTCACCCTATTCTGTATACTGTACATGACATGTTCTGGGTCACCCTATTCTGTATACAGTACATGACACGTTCTGGGTCACCCTATTCTGTATACTGTACATGTTTTGGGTTGCCTGACTTGCTATGCTGAGCGGCGCCGTTCACTAGTATCTTTATAAACAAATGTGAAAAAAGCTCCCAGCACTTTATATGCAGTAGCTTGTTGCATTTAATGGGACACCTACCTCTCGAACTTTTGAGATGTTTGACACATTAAAGTGATCACAGGAATTAATTAGATTGAGGATAGCTGCAGCATCACATTGCTGGGGTCCTTTGGAATTTGTGTGTCCACGTGGTAAGTACACCTGCAATAAAGTGAACAATGTTTAAAAGTGACATGCAGCAGCTATGCATATTCACCAATCAGAATACAAGTTATGTTCATGTGTTTGTTGTTGTGTTTTTGTTTTTTTTTAAATGAATTTTCTTGTCGTGCTGCCCTTGCCAATGAACTCCACTTTGTTGCAGGTATAAGCTTGCACATTGCAAGGGAATTTTCCCTTAGCTTAGTGAATGAGGCCAACATCTGATGTTGAACTGGCTATTACATAGGGGATTTCTTAGTCCCCTATGTTATAGCAATAAAGTCTAAAAAAAAAAAGTAAAAAAAAAAAATGACAGCATTAAAAAAAAATATTTACAAATAATAATTAAAAAAAATAAAACACAATTTTTTTTTTAAAGTCCCCCGCCCCCCCACATATGCACGCAAACATGCGTCGGGTGCGCCTATGTACGAAAACGACGATTGCGCCCATTATGCAGCACATGTTACATATCGCCGCGAACGTCAGAGTGAGAGCAATAATTCTAGGGCCATCAATCACTGATAACACTAAACTGATGAGCGGTAAAAACGTTTAAAGCGTCGCCTATGGCCAATTTTGGCTGCGGTAGTTTTCTGCAATTTCGCGGGCGCGCGCAATTTTAAAGGTTGACATGTTTAGTGTCTATTTACCCGACGTGACCCTGTCTTTTATATTATACCAAAAAATTGGGGTGAGAATAAATGTTTCATAACATTTTATAGGGAAACATTGTTTTTTTTTCAAAATTTAGGGTACTTTTTTTGTTATATAGTAAAAAATAAAAACCACAGTGGTGATTAAATACCACCAAAGAAAGCTCCATCTGTCCCAAAAAATGGTATAAAATTCGTATCAGTACAGCGTTGCATGACGGAATAAACGTCAGTCAAAGTATCGCAGCGCTGAATACTGAAAAATGGCCTGGCCAGGAAGGGGGTGAAACACCATGGTCTTTAAGTGGTTAAATTATCCAATCATGTGCAAACAAAAATACTGTTTTGGGGTTTTTGTTTTTCATTTTCCTTGCACATGATTGGATATTCTTTGCAAAGTGAAACTTCTCCACATTCACTAAGCTAAGTGAACATATGTTTGCAAAGTGAACAGCTTAATTTGCCTGCAGTAATCAACCTTGATTGCCTTACCTATGCAATGATACTGTTTTATGGTCGACATAAATCATGATTAATATTTTTAGACGCTCAAATTGTATTTATAATGTAACAAAACATTAAATTCTTAAACATGAAATTGAGTCTGTATAATGCTGGCCACATGTACATCAAATCTGCATTAGATACGGATTCTGATCACATTTAGTGGCATTTTCTTTATCTGGTGCCACAAGTTTTTAGATCTAGTTGTAATTGCAATTACAATGACCATAAATGTTTAGTCGTTTTTAATTCTGTCTAAGGGTGCCCACACACCTTACGATTATCGTACGATAATCGCGGGAAATCCTGTTTGTATCTAGTTGCCTTTAGTGCAGCCGGGACACACACACACACACACACACACACACACACACACTTTTCTTATAACTGAAGAAAACAATGAAGTGTGTGTGTGTCAGAAGACATTAGGAAATCAGAGCACTCGCACACAATAAATACAGCGTTACCTTTGCCACCTCCCAGTATTGTGTAGGCCACAGGGATGGATCACAGTTCCCCCAATGTATTTCTCCATTTCTGTTGTTATGGTGAAGCAGAATGAGCTCCTTCAACTTCATGCACACAGGACAGTTAGGATGGAACTAGACCAGAAAAAAATAAAAGTAAAAACAAGAAATACTTAAAGTGACATTAAAGTCAAAAATATTTTTCCCTCCCCCCAGTGTGAATGTCAGCACTTACCTTAAATGATGTTTCTTAATCCGATCTTCCTCTTCTTTCCTGATTTGTCCCTCCAGCGGTGTGGCGGCTCTCCGATCCAGCGCTGACTCCTCTGTCCTTGCTGGCACTTCTGATCCCACGGTGTCTGCATGCGGGTGCACGCGTCCATATACTTACCTTGTGTCTCTCCTCACGCACCGGACGAAAATCCGAACTGCGCATGCCCCCGCCCCAAGATGCTTTGCGGCTGCCCGCGCGGGGAAGACACAAGTATTAACCCTTTTCAAAGCGGGCTTTTTTTTTGTTTACCCTTTTTGCATATATCTACAGCTTGCTAGCTATATATATATATATATAT